CGTATTGACGCCAATAGCGCCACATGTGTATAACAAAAATAAAAGAAAGGTCACGTGAAGGCACTAATAAGGTAAAAATCTTAGATTTTATTAGATATGTAATAATTAAATTTAGATAAGTATGAATAGATATTTTCAAAAGTCAAGTTAGTGAGATTCTTATCCATATGAAACGATTAGTTTTATATATATATATATATATATATATATATATATATATATATATATATATATATTCCTACAACCACTTTGGATAAGGTTATCTACAACTATCCCAAAAACTACGTTGTTTTGATTAATTAAGGGTGTTTCTGTAACTTTAGGTGAATTAATAAAAGATGTTTGTGTAATTTTGTTTATTTTTTTATCATATACATTTTACTGAAACACCCTTCATTAATCAAAATGACGTAGTTTTTGGGGTAGCTATAGATAACCTTATCTAAAGTAGTTGTAGAAATGTTATTTATATATATATATATATATATATATATATATATATATACACTGACGTGAAGAAAGAAATAAAAAGAAACAAAGAGGGAGCATGAAAGAAATAAGAAAAGAAAGAAAGAAATCGGGGGAGGAAAGAAAAGAAAGGAGGAAGAAATAGAGAGAGAGAAAAAAGGAGGCATGTAACAATAAGGGAGAGAAAAGAACTCGAGAGAAAACAAAGAAGAAAAGAAAGAAAGGAAAAATAAAATATGAAGGTAATATTGGGAGAAAATGCCATTCTCCTAATTTTATTCCTTTCACCTATATTTATTTAAAGTTGATATTTTAAATTTCTTTCTTTAAAAGTTGTAAAGATACAATTACTCTGTCCAAATATTTTCTTATGAATCTTTTCTATCTTTTTGATGTATCTGTTATCTTTAAGTGTGTGGATTTGATGAATTGATTCATATTAGTTATGAGAATGAAATTAAATCAAGACTATAGAACTAAAGAATTCCTTTAGTACCAAATGAATATTTGCGGAATATGTAATATTTTACTTAATGATTCTGATGTAAACTGACTCATAAAAGTTTGGGATCAGAATGGTTATAGGGTAAGGGACGTCTTATCATGACTCGAGCTTCGCCATATAAAACCTTTCACATACATAACCCACAAAGGTTTGGGTGCTCGCAAGGGTTTGAGCTTTAGTCATTTCAGTTAAAGACTATACGTTCTTTTATGTGTTTGTATGCAGAAGCCCACAAAGGTTTTGGTAAAACCCACAAAAGTTTAGGTATGTTTGTATGAAAAAAAAACCACAAAGGTCTTAGTTTATATTTATTATTCATGATATTATTTTCTTATTATAAATATGTTCGCGAGAATGATATTTTTTGCTAAAGCGACTGAATCGGTTGTGGTTCGAAAACCCTAATATTACTGAGATTTATCTCACATGTGTATCTATTTTATGCTAACCTTTCCAGAAAGTAACCATGTAAGTTTGTATAACTTTGGAGTAGAATGAAGCACCAAGATTAAATGATTAAAAATTTTGAGAGCTGTACATAGTTCAGAATGGTTTGATGTACTTGTGAAGTGACTGATAGAGTAGAAATAGTTCTCTTTTAGTTTAGATGATAATATAAGATAGTCCATATCAGATGTAATAGTGAACTTGACTTCAATCTAATGTATAATTAAATTTTAAGTGTATTTTATTTAAGATATAATTTAAGAAGTAATTTAAATTTATTATTACGCTACGCTAGATACTATGCATGTTAATAAATCGGTACATAACCGAGTGTTACACATGGTCTTAATAAAATTATTTTAAGTTAGAATATTTAAGGAAGCATTATTCATAAAGATATGCAAAGAGAAAAGGATGAAGAATGTTATATGAATAAAAAAATAAAATTGGACCAAAACTTGTATAAAATAGTTCATAATACTTACCGCAATTAAAGATAACGTCAATGATATATGAATAGTTAGAAAAAAATAATTACATAACAAATTGCTTAATTAAATGTGAATTTATATTAAAGTTATACTTATAACCTATTTTCGTTTACAACTTCTTACAACTATATTTTAACCGTTGATTTTCGTCAATAAATAGTTATTATTTTCACAAATTAAATTTATTAATTAATTATTAATTTGCAATAAATGACAACCGTTGCTTGACGGAAATCAACGGTTAAGATATGATTGTAAGAGGTTGTAAACGAAAATCGGTCGTAAGTATAACCTTATATATATATATACAGGTAGGATCCTTTGACACCAGTGTCAAATTTAAAATTTATTAATTATATATATATGGAAAAAAATAAGATGAGATCGTGTCAAATTAAAAAATTTGACATTAAATCTTAACTGTTAATTTCTGTCAATCTAACGATTATAATTTTTTAAAAATAAATATTTAATTAATAATTGTGATTCAATAAATTATAACCGTTAAATTTTTGAAATTAATAATTAAGATTTGATGTAAATTTTTAGTTTAATATTGATGTCAAAGTATTCTCACTCACACACATATATATTATATTTGAAAATTAAATGCATTTTTGCTAATATTGTCCACGCACAATGCACCGACAGGTTGGGCCGGCGGGAGAATGGCGGATATACACGTTACTAATAAATGCTGAACTAAGTTTTCAAAAAAATAAATGAATGCTAAACTAAAAGATCAGCTATGCCTAACAATTCTCGTCTGTTTTTCATTGCTCCATCACTTATATTTTTATTTATGATTGTATGATTACATTAATATTCTTTAAAGGGAGTTATTATAGTAGTATCCTTACATGTTAGCATCTTCGACTATATTTATCAATCTCGTGCGAAATAATCGGCATATTTACTACGGAAATCACATTTTTAATTTTAATAATTAATTTTAGTTATATCTAACAATTTTAATTTATTAAATATGTGAGGTTAGCAAATAACAATTAAGATTTAATATAAATTTTTTTTATATCGATTTAAATTAGATCCTATTCCATATATTATAATTTATATGTAATTCTATTTTTTTCCTTTTTTTTTATAAACAAAAACGAAAATAAGTTTTCTATATTTTTCCTTGTGGGAAGGCGTTTTTTTATTTTTATTTTTTATTTTTCACTTATAATGGGAGAAGGCAACTATACCAAAGTTGAGGCCCAGCATTTGGTACGTAGGACTTGTCACATGTCAGTTGTCAGACTCTGTTTCTGCGAATAAATCTTTGGTACACTGCTGTACCAAAGATTCAGTGCATCCTACCAATGAAAATATTACATATCAGTTAAAATTCTTTTTTTTCTGTCAAATTTTTTCTCTTTCCTCTGATGTGTAAATGCTCTCATTGATGGGATGCACTGAATCTTAGTACAGCAGTAATACCAAATATTTACTCTGTGTTTCTGCATGTCGTGTACTCATCTATGCATAATTTAGATCAAACTACGGAAAATCCTGACCATGAAAAAACCTGTTTTATATAAAATGATAAAATAAAGTATGGAACAAAAAAAATTGGAACGTTGATAAAAACTGCACGATCCCACTGCATGTGACCGTGGTCCCTTGCCATATAATGTCCACAAGGTAGTGTTTGGTTCGGGAGAAATTGTTTTTACTAGAGAAATGTAATTGATAGGAAAATGGTTGGAAAGTGAGTTTGGTAGGAAAATGTAAAAAAAGTTGTTTGGTTGACCGAAATATTACCAGGGAAATTTATTTAAATATGCAAAACCTATGTTCGGGAGAAACTTTGCACCTGTTTTTTTCACTTCCCCAGTTATCTCAAAATACCACATCTCAAGTGGTATTCTGTAACAGTGAATTTCATCCAAAAATCAACACAAAAGTCATTTTTCTATCTATTCTATTTGCCTAGTGTTTTTTGGAAAAACCTGAACCAAACGTGATATTTTCCAATATCCACTTACACTTTCCCATCAATCCCAAAATAAACCTTCAACCAAACACTACACAAGAGAATTCGTAAACCAATGATGGAGATTCAGTACTGTACATAATTACATTTTCCATGCGGATCAGAGAGCAAAAGTGCTTAGTTTTAGAGTAAACACAAGACAAAATAGGTATATAAATCTTATAATTTCACAATAAAACTACATCCCCTAATTAACTTTTAATCTAAAAAAAAATTAATTTTCTTTTTCATTGTTTATAGAAGTAAACACAGCACGTACTTTAAGAAAATGTGAACATAAATTTGCGTCCATATTTTTTAGTTGATAACAAAAATTATTTGGTAAAGCCAACATCCTGCCTCCCAAGGTCCGGTGTGAATTGAATTCAGATCAAATCGTGGTGCTTTGAAAATAGAGCGAATTGCGCAATAACTAACAATCCAACATATTATTAACTAATTATTTGTATATAAATGTAAAATGATTATTTTTAAAACACTCATTAAGATTTAAGAAAATATTAAATAGTTATTAGATATTATATTTTTCGTAAATATTTTCGATTTATAATTTTTTAACAGATACATTTAGATTTTAGAGTATTACTCAGTTTGCTTAGAAACTTAATTATATATTATACCCCAATATAGAAAAGCAACAAAGGAAGATGCGTTGAGATATGGATATGGTGCTTATTTAGTTTTTCCAGTGAAAGCATTTTTAGAAGGTCTACCTCTTTGCGCCACTTGTACTCGTCTCCTTGCCTTTTATAAATTCCCACACGCTCCTTTCCAATCAGTTGCCTTTATAAAAGCAACTGGCTTAAATATAAATTTGAACTATGCTCCTTTAAAGCAAAGTTGTTCATTGCTTCTAGTTGGATACGCTGGAAATGACATTACATATATTAATTGGAAAATAATTCATTTACAATTTTCTTTTACAAATCACGTTAAGTCTGACTGGTCATACATTCTTGATTGAAGTATGACTTGTCAGACATAATGTAGTTTGTAAACGAAAAATTTATAAATATAAACTTGTCTTGTTAATTATACTATTGAATAAGCAAAACCATTTCCACAAAGTCCACTTTTCTCTGGTGGGTTTTCCACTGAACCCACCCCTTCATCTATGGTATGGCAACTGAAGCAGAAGGCTTTCCCAAGGATAATGACCAAGGCGCTGGTACCACTAGTGTTACCATCAACACTGCCAGTAGAACTGATAATCCAATTCAAAAGGTACAACTTGAGACTGTTCCCACTTCCCTCAGTTGCCTCTTTTTGGTTTTCGTCGTTTTCTTACTTTTAATATAACAACAACTTATTTTCTTTAGAAGGTATAGAGTGTGTGTGTGTGTGTCTAAGCTGTTTGAACTAAATTGGTTTCTTTACTAGAAATCATATCCGTATTCTTAGTTCATTCTTACTCTTATTAGTCCATTCCTGTATCATCAATCATCATCTCCTCTGTTTCTATCTTTGCCAATTTTGAAGAATATAGAAGCGTGTTGTTCTCTCAAATTGTCATTTTTATTCTTATTTGCTAAATTATTCTTACTTTCCTCATTTTACAGAAAGAAGGACACCAATTACAAATTCATGTGCTTGCCAAAGATGGGAACTCATCTATAGGCGGCATGTTTCGTATAGTTCCTACCACTCCACCGTTGGCTGAGAGTATTATTGACACAACATCTACAAAATATCCACCTGAATATACTGGTAAAGTGGTAATTTTCTTATTCCTGTTTGTATAACAAAGTTCTAATAACCTCAGAACGTTCAACTATGTCTTACTTGTCTTAACTAAGAGTATATGCTACTTGGAGATGGAGTGAACTTTTCTGGTTATAAATTTATGATCTTTATAACTATCAGCTGTATATGCCAGTAATCTTTAAGCTTCAAGTATTTCAAAGGTTCCAGTGTGCTAGTGTCATTGACTAAAGCTTCAAGTATTTCAAAGACTCCTAAACTGAAGTTACTTTAACAAAGAACCAACCATTAGGAACAGTTACATGTTTCCTGGCTTAAATTTAAGCGACTGATCTACAAGAAAAAAATAAAAATAAAAACTAAGCAACTAATCCTAACTCAACCCTCTTCAGTTCATACTCTTGTTCATTTCTCACTATCATTTCTTTATTTATTAACCTTTGTTATTGTTTCCCTTTCTCATCCAACTCAATCTCTTGCCTGGGCTGTCTGTTGTGTTTCATTTCATCCATGTCATGACTAAGTAAAATTTATTGTGTTCTCTTAAGTTTGGGTTGGACTATCCTCTCTATGGTTTACTCTACACAAACTTCTTTTTTCAGAATTAACCAGTTGCTCTGATAACATAGCTAATTTCCAAATTTGAAGGTATCAGTTAACGGATTGAACCTTTCTATTAAGTTCTTTCAATAACTATCTTATGCAAATAAGTATTCTGGTTCAGTTGAAAATGAGGATAGCGAAGATATTCCTGAAGAAGAAGCTGTCTGCAGAATTTGTTTGATTGAATTGAGAGAAGTTGCTAATACCCTTAAAATAGAGTGCAGCTGCAAAGGTGAACTTGCTCTGGCACACCAAGAGTGTGCAGTTAAATGGTTTAGCATTAAAGGCAATAGAACATGTGATGTGTGCAAGCAGGAAGTTCAGAACCTACCTGTTACTCTTTTACGGGTTCCTAGTGACCGGGAACTTAACTTGATAGGGAGCAGAGATCAACTAAACAGGCAAGGGAAACTATGTTTTTCTTGAGTGTTCTTTTTTCTGAAAATAATTTCAAAATTGTTTTTAATGATTTTATGGTTCATCACTTTTGGTCCTTGTTTCACTCATGAGAAGCAGGAATCTGGATATAGGGATTGTAAATAAATATAAAAATATAATTACTGATGATTTGTAAGACTTGTCAGACTACACAACAATCTGATTTGCCAAAAGGTCTCTAGTTTGTCATGACTTGCAAGAGACACCTATAAAACTTTGTGGTGTCATAATTCAGTACAGTTTTCCAACATGGTTCACCAGAATTAATGTGCAAAACTTCTGCAGGTATTGGCAAATAGTTTCCATTCTTGTCATAATCAACACGCTGGCTTACTTCTGTTTTCTTGAGCAGCTCCTTGTAAGTTTAACTACTTTAGTATAATGTTCTTGTTAGTCCATATAAATTCCTAATAAAATGATCATTGGATGGACAGGTCACAAATATGGGATCTGGTGCCATTGCCATATCTCTCCCATTTTCTTGTGTACTGGGTCTTCTTGCAAGCGCCACGTCCTCAACAATGGGTTAGGTTTTTATCAACTTTAGACAACACTCTATACTTTAATTTTGCCTTTGGCATAACACTGATTCCTCCAAATTTGTTCTCAGTCAGGAGAAAACATGTTTGGGTTTATGCAATTGGCCAGTTTATTATGATGGTTCTCGCTGGATGTCTTTTCTACTCACTGGTAAGGAAATTTTGTGTGTATGTGCGCGTGCGCGTGAGTGTGTTTTTAAACAAAGCTCAGGTTATAAAGACAAAGGATTATTTGCTGAATATTGTTAATGGCATATATAACCATGATCTATAAGCTGAATGCTGATTAGTCAAATGTAGCATTGCTGCGGGTTTCAGTATGATGGTTTTCAATATATAGATAAAGCTTATGCCAGAATCAGCGTAGTGGTAAGTGGTAACCTTCTAATATCAAGTGTTGTCATACATTTGTGTCATGACAGCTTCATATGCAAGCTGTTCCATCTATTCTACTTGCTACATTTACTGGGTTTGGAGCTGTTGAGTTTTTAAAATGGGGGAGACGATGGCTTTGTCAACTGAATCAACAACATGAATCCCAAGAAATGTTATCACCTGATCAATCATCTGCAACCCCTCATCAGGCTCAGATTGATTCTCAACATCATGAAACTAATAGGCAAGCTCTGCAGCTTGTGAGCTAACATTGCACAAGCAGCAATTTTGTTGGTTTGTTTATTATGATAGTTTTTAAAATAGAAATACTAACATACACTCTTCAATATTTCTTTTTTCAACACACTCTCCTCTTAGCTGGGTCAAAAGAATATATTGCTAATATTTCTCTTTTAAAAAATCTGTTTGGTAGCTCAAGTTAGTGCTCCACTTTCTTTTTAAGTGCCCACTAATGTAATTACTGTTCATCACATCTGGGACAAGAAAAGAAGTTGCCTTTTTCACATATGTATCCATTTGAATAGGAGTTTTGCCAAGTGTCCTGAATACCTGGAAAATATAAAAAGAATTTAATAGGGGTTTACAATCATCATTTAACATGACCATAAAAATTTTTCTACACACACAACATTTTGTGGAACCCGCATGTTTTGAAGAAAAAAACATTACGGCACGCAAAACGAATCTCTATAACATAACACAATCATTTTTCCTACAACATAACTCTTATAAAATCTAATCTAATATTAGTAATCAAATGATTAAGATTAACAAGAGTTATGGGGCAGGATCATCTTACACCGGTGTAAGAATAATAAGTCTTACACCAAATCTTAACCATTGATTTTCTGCATCTAACGATTAAGATTTATTAGGTCTCACTAATTAATTAATTTTTAATTCCCAATAAATCTCAACCGTTAGATGTACGAAAATCAACGGTTGAGATTTGGTATAAGAATTATTATTCTTACACCGGTGTAAGTTGATCCTATCTCTCTCTCTCTCTCTATATATATATATATATATATATATATATATATATATATATATAGGGTTTAGTGAGTGTACAGTGACTGGATATAAAATTTGGTCCAATGCACTATGTTCTTCCGGGAGAACACAGTTATAGTAAATATTATAACTATGTTCTCCCGGGAGAACACCATTATAATATTTAGTGCACTATGTTCTCGCGGGAGAGCTTAGTGCACTGGACGGTTCAATCACTGAATTTTCATTTTTTTCATATATATATATATATATATATATATAATAACATAAATCACTACTCAAAATTCATATATATAATAGCATATAAGTCATTATTCAAAATTCAATAAACAACTTCATATTTAAAAGATATAATTAAGTCACATAATAATATAAAACATAGTCCAAAAAACAAAAAGAGTTTAACAACTCTTGTAACCAGCAAGTTCCAAAACATTAAAAAAATAAAGTTTACCAACTCCTAATAGAAATATAATGGCCTCGCGACGATTTTTTTCTTCTTCGGATAATTAGAAGAAGATATTGTGCATTTGATTTGGGAAATTTAAAATAGGGTTTTTTTAAAAAAAATAAAAATAAGATCAGGTTATGAGTTAAAAGTTGACCGATTTAATTTTTTAGGTTAAGTAAAAACGTAAAAAGTTCCGTTTCCACTATTTGTATGCTTTTACATGAAGTTTTATTAGTTGTTATTGAAGATTTTGTTTTAGCATGTATTACTTCAATAAAAATATAAAAACAGAAAAACATAAGTTTTTATATTTTTACAGTAACTTTTGACAACAAACAATGCTTTGGGCAATTGAATTGAATCAGATCAGTTAGAAAATAATAAACCGGATAAATTAAGGATCGGGTCTTGGGTCAAGAAAAATAAAAGCCGTAAAACCCGACCCGACTCACATATACATGTATTCACATCTTGACTTTATGATACCTGTTGAACGCAAGGTGGCGGATTCGATTCACATGCAGATCTGCGGTATTGGGGGTGCTCCGATCTCGAGTCCGACGAGGAGTGAAAGGGTTTGAGCTACGAGTAATCCAAAAGGTTAAAGAAGCAGTAGATGAGGAAGACGCTAAAGCACTGTATCTGGAACGTCACGCCGAGTCCTCTGAGGCACGATCACGATGATCTGCGAGTCCTTGATTGGCCTTGGCTTTGATCTTGTTTTCCTTGTATCTCATGTTTTTCAAACAGATTATAGCTCTAATTTACTAGTTGTATTTGTATTTATCTAATGCAGTCAAGTATCTTTCTATTGATGACTTGATAACCAACCTCTTTCTAATCGGGTTCGGGTTCTTTCGATTCGAGTTTCTTTAAAAAGTTTACAAAATGGATCTGAACCGAATCATTGCATTTTAATCAGTTTGGAGTTATTTTTTTTATTTTTTTTTTTTTATTTTTAGAAAAAAAAACCTGACCCCACTTGAGCACCCTTATTTATGTATGCCAAAACGATGAAATTTTAAATTTCAATATTAATAGCATTTTTTTGTTATTAAAAAGTTCCTTTGAGATATTACAAAAGAATTTTATTTTTAATAATTCTTTGCAAGTACAAAGATTTTGGATAAGAATTCAGTAAAATGAAAGTAATAACGGCAAACAAAAATATCTGGAGTAAATTTAATAGTCAACTACTAACATGCTTGAATTTTATGAAATTGTATATAGTTGATTTAGTCATTCCTAGTTATCAATATTGTACTTACTATTAAAAGTTCATCTCTAAATAAGGATCCAAATCCTAAATTCTTGTTTACATCTTTTGGTGCTGTACTTTCATTTTTAGTTCTATCAGACTAAATATTTTTTTGAGTCTTTAACAAAAAACACGATTTCATTTTAATTCTTTACGAAATAAAATTAGTCTCAAAATCTCTAAAAAAATTAAAATTGACTCATTTAGTTAAAATTGTGATCCCTCATAAATTCAAAAAAGATCCATATTAATCCCTCAAAAGGACTAAAATAGATCCTCAAGACTAATTTTTTTTTATAAGAAACTAAAGTGAGAATCATATTTTTTAATAGGAATCTAAAAAGATATTTACTCATAAATATATTCATCATATTTTGGGACAAGTTTCGTTGAGCAGGTTCAGCTTTAAAAGTGCATCAATTCAGATATTAGCTTAGCCTCACCAACATTGGCATGACAGAAACACAAACAGCTCACTTCCCGGCTTCACGCAATTCAGGTTGTTGGAAGTTATAATTAAACGCGAAAAATTAAAGCCAAAACAATAATAGTTTGTATGCACTTCCAAAGTACTGATCTTCAAGAACCAATTTCACATTATTCCTGTAATCACTTATCAGACATCCTAATAACAGCCGTTTTGTAATTACAGGAGGCAGCCGGAGAGAACTCTCCCTCCCAACCTCTCGGTGCCATCAAATGGCATGCTCATCCGTGAATATACAATAGACCAGTTGGTTTATCTTTACTTGAATCAATATGTTAAAACTACGAAACCAACCAGGTAACAGATAAACAAACCATATAAAAAAAATTGCTTAAAATTCCCCTTTAGATTAAGATTTAGTCATTGTTTGTAGCTAGAATTGCTAATCTTATTTGAAAGAAAAGGCTTCTCCTTGAAACTGGTAGGTAACAAGGTTTCAGAGTTGCTTGATTGGCTCTCAGCAACCCCAGGTCTCATCCAGATTTTAATGTGTCCCTCCCGGCAGGCAGTAAGTACAGATTCCTGGGTAAATATCAAGCCAGAGAGTGGTTCAGTATGCACACGGTGAGCAACCAAAGGAGTGATTTTTGGAACATCCCGCATGCTCGGAGCAGGTTGCAAGGTACCCAATGGAACAGCACTTTCCCATTGGGATGACTGGCTTCCAGCACTGTAAGTTGGGGATCCACCAGGAGGACGTCTCAAGGGCACTACAATCTCATCCATTTCCAAGTCCCATAGAAGCAATTGTGTATCCTGACCACCAAAATAATATAATGTAAAATAATATGTAAGAGAGCTTGAGTAAGGCAATGCACATATCCGAAGACAAAAAGGTATAGAAATTTTAGTCAAAATCCATTTTCAAAATTTTAAACGATTAAACATATATCTCCTCATACAATAGCAGCCGCTGGCAACTTAATAAAACTATATTTCTTTTTAACTTCACGGCATGATATTATAAATGAAATCACATTTTAGCCTTTTCCTTCTCTGTCTTGACTGGGGAAGAGAATGAGGTGATTTTCTTACCTACATCAATTTCATAAATCAACATGAACATCAATATCAACAACACCTTTATCCCAAACTAATTGGAGTCGGTGGTAAATGAATCCAAATGAAAGGTATGAAGGGATATATATAAGTAAAAATAAAAGCGTGTAAAAAAAAAAAAAAAGAGGAAGAAGATGGGGAAAGTAAAAGAGACAAAGGAAAAAAAAGGGGGAAATAAGAAGAGGGGAGGGGGGATGAAGAAGAAAATGACTAAAATAGGACCATCTGGAACATAGGAATAATAGATCTAACCCTCCACCATGTTAATAGTTTTTCTTCATTCCGTCCTAAGGCATACCGTCCACCAATCTATATCTCACTCCATTAAGTCTTATTTTACTACCTTCTCCCAAATAAGTTTCAGTCTACCTCTACCTTTCTTTGTGTCGAGCTCCTAGTAACAAACTTTTGTTCTTACAGGAGCATCCAGGGGCCTTCTCATTAAGTGCCCAAACCACCTCAATCTATGTTCTCTCATCTTTTCAGCCACCGATAGTACTCCTACCTTACGTCGAATATCTTCATTTCTTATCTTATCCATCCTCGTACAACCACACATCCACCTTAACATCCTCATCTCTGCTATTCCCATTTTATGTTCATATTGCCTATGTGCTGGCCAACATTCAGCTTCATATAACATTGTAGGCCTTACTGCTGTTCTATAGAATTTTCATTTTAACTTAAGGGGAATTTTGCGGTCACACAAAAACCAGAACCACTACGCCATTTCATCCACCCTACTCTGATTCTATGACTTACATCCTCATCAATCTCTCCGCCTTTTTGCAGAATGGATCTCAGGTATCTAAAAGCCTCTCTCTTAGGTACCTCTTGACCAATTAGATGCACGAGATCTTGTCTACATCTCTTACTAGAGAAAACTCACACTTCATATACTCAGTCTTGCTCCAGCTTAACGTGAATCCTTTAGACTCCAATGTGCTTTTCCACAATTCAATTTTTCGATTAACACCGTCTTTGATCTCATCAATAAGCACAGTATCATCTGCAAAAAGTATACACCATGGCACTTCCTTTTGGATATCTTTTGTTAATTCATTCATTACTAAGACAAAGAGATAAGGACTTAGAGCTGAACCTTGGTGTACACCTACTGTGATAGGAAAACAACTTGATGTTCCATTACAAGCTATCACACATGTAATAACCCCATCATACATATCCATGATTGTCTTTGCATACTTTGTTGGTACTTTTTTCTTCTTTTCTCGATAAAACTTTTATTGGGACCCTGTCGTATACTTTCTCAAGATCTATGAACACCATATGTAAGTCCTCATTTTCTCGATATCTTTCCATTAATTGTCGCATCAAGAAAATGACTTCCATGGTACATCTTCCTGACATAAACCCAAATTGATTTACAAAAACCTCAGTCTCTCTTCTCAAGCGATGTTCAATAACTCTTCCACAACTTCATAGTATGGCTCATTAGCTTAATGCCTCTATAGTTAGAACAATTCTGAATATCTCTCTTGTTTCTGTAAATAGGCATAAGCATACTTTTCCTCCATGCATCAGGCATCTTATTTGTATGAAAAATCTTATTGAAAAAATTGGTCAACCATTCTATTGCCACATCCCCTAGGCCTTTCCACACTTCATAAATAATACTAACATATTTCAGAATAAAAAAAAATAGCACTACCTTCCTACCAAGCATTTTGCAGCTTGCACTATCTATAAAGTCTTCGTAATTAAATACTTTTTGTTTTCGCTATCAGAGTAGATTTAACTAAACATGTAATTGATATGCCAGTATATACTTAATTCATAGAAACCAGTCATAGATCCAATATTTGGAAACCATGACTAAATTTGAACATTTCCCCCAGTGACACTCTATCAAGACATTCGAAACCAAAACCACCCAGCAATCAGCCAATTTTTACGCAAGCAAATACAGTATTTTTATTTTCAAAACTGTCAATCATAACATGGGCCAACAGGAAAAAATTATAAGGAAAATTTAAAGCGGAGAGCCAAAGCAACACAGACACAGGAAAATTTATAATGAAAACATTTTTTTCAGTACCTGCCCAACAGAACCGAACCGATACATAATGGTCTCTCCATTGTCATTTGAATTTGGTGATGACCAATATGAATCAAAAGCCACTCCGCTGACCTGATCCCAGCATTACAAAAACAAATTCAGCACTATGGTAGGAAATTAGCCAACTCAAAATTACCAAGCAACTTACCCACGAGTTATGTCCCTCACCCCATGCCACAACTTTGCGATCTTCCATGCTCCAAACTTGAACTAAATCATCTTCTCCTCCCGTCAAAATATATTTTCCATCCATGCTGTTAAAGCAGAGATTTCATTATGGTATAGTATTCTCAAAGTACGAATTATTTTTTTTTTTAGAAAAAGAAAAGAAAAGAAAACAGAATTACAAGCTAAAGTATATGTACTATTATTTTATATACTCGAAAGTAAGAGGCGAACTAAGGAATAGGAAACAAATCTAAACATGCCAATTTCACTAATTAATTGACTAAAATCAAAACATGTCTCACCTCCAAGCACAACATAACAAAGCACCATAATAACTTTTCCCCCCACATATAAGTTGTTCTTTTGAGTAATCAAACACTCGTAAGTAACCTGGATGTAGCAAGTAAAATAAATCCGGGAACTTAGTTTTCCAAGGAAAATGAGGTAAGTAGGAACATCACAGTGGGGATGATATTTGATAAAAAAACATACCATCTCGTCCAACAATTGCTAAGTATGCCCCATCAGTTGAAAAAGAAATACTGTTAATAGAACCCTGGCATATATGCCATCTGGCCATTGGATTACTCTGCACAGGACAATATTTAAAAAAAAAAATGATAGAAACAAAAAAAAAAAAAAAAAATTATCCAGAAGTGAAAACTCCAGAATTCACTATTTTGTCCAACACAAATTATGCCTTAAATTGGTTAATTGTGCGATCAATCAAATGTTCAATGAGAAAGATGCTACATTCTAGAAGAACTAAGCAATCATAAAATCATAAAGTTAATGTTAAAAGCTGAATTTAACTATAGTAAAATTAAAATAGATAGGCCAAAAGGAAAAAGGTAAAATAGAAGCAGCATATCAATATTTTGCCATGAAACCAAAAGGACATTAAACTCAATACCTTACTGTAACGTGCATGGGAAACAGAAAATTGAGTTTGATCTTTGACAACTGGGAATGAAGAATCACCGGCGCCATCTTTGTTCTGAAATGGGAAAGGATTGGTTAGTATATGCTCTACTCACCATAAGAAATATCATTATACATTACCCATAAAATCAGTTTCTCTCTTGATAATTGGGCCTTGCCTTTTCATATACATACAAATTCCCGTCAGCATGAGCAACAACAAAAGCACCATCACCTCCAGGAACCCAAGCAATACAAGTACAGCGACTGTACAAATCAAAATGCATGAATCAAGATAGCTTCCAATCAGTGTCTTTGACATAATATTCCAATACATTAAAGTTCTAGAAGATAACCTGGACAATTTTAATAACAATTAACAATTCAGATAAAGGGCCTCTAACTTCTCTACCACTCAATGCCAAGAATTATAACCATTGAAGTCAACTACATATCACACTTTACCCAGTTAGAGTAAAACACTTAAGATAAACCAATTTTATACAATTAACTTATAAAACTAATTTTCCCATTTGATTGGAAACATGAAATGCTCAAGTTTGGCTTGATTCCAATCTTTTATTGAGCCTACCAAGCTGCTGTATTCAATGGGTACCCCAACCAATAGGAGATCACATGTTTTAAAAAGAATAAATCCTCAGCAAGCATAATCATTCTCAACAAAATGCAAATACATGGTTTGATCCTTTAGAAAAAGGATTGAATTTTCAGTGAAATGTATATTTATATTTCTTTCTAAGGAAATCTACAAAACAAACAGAGATGAACAGGATTAGATATTAGAATTCTCACATTTTCAAATGGGCAACACAAACATAGATAGAAAATTTTGAAGGTTGAACTTCTCAACCACTATGGGTTTCAATTTATACATCATGGAATGGTAAATATACATCTTCAAAATTAACATTTGCAATCATACTTCCACCCACATCAAATGACATGGATAGCCAAGTAATGGTTACACATTTATATTCAAACCTTCATTCATAAAACAGAGAGATTGCCATGTCAAGGTAAGTATCTACAAGACATCCAAAGTAAAAAATTATTCACGTCTCAACGAGTTTTCACAAATTGAAATAATATCCTTGGCTTCCAGGATACTTTTCTGATAAAAACCTTACGAAACAGAAATAGGCTTGATTGTGAAGCACTCGCATAGATAACTTATTATGAGCATATACAGAGCTTAATAGACAACTGCAATATTACCAGCCACCATGAGATGAATCAATAAATAACCTATTCATTTAAATTACAGAGTAGACAGTCAAGGCACATAAATTATCAAAGTTTGACCATCTGAGCATAATATTTACAGCATATTTGTTTCTAATAATCTATTCTCAAAAACTGTCACTACACACTCAATCAACAATCAGGAATTTGTGGGGGGCAAAAATGCAGGTTGCTTTAAAATCAAATTTTCTCTCTCTCTCTCTCTCTCTCTCTCTCTCTCCCTCTCCCTCTCCCGCTCCCGCTGTGTGTGCGTGTACCAGCACTCATAGCAATTAAAACTGTATCACAAAGGGATCGGATCATTGAATCTTGCCTGTTATTGACAGAACCATCTTTGTTGTAATGCTGGGCCCCAACAAGCCTTTTACCAACATCCTGTAATTGCTGTCTCAGTGACACTGTGTAGACTACAATAATACACACAGGCACGATAAATTCATGAAGCATAAATTTCCTTATGAAATGGAAATTTAAATTTTAGTGGGCAGTTCTTTACCATCACCGGAATTCAAGCCAATGAGCAAATCATGCCCATCCTTAGCATCATGATCAAATGCGTGACACACGGGATTAGAATTACTGAAGTGAATAGACTTTATGGGGTCCTACATGAAACAAAACCTATCACGTAACCAATCCAACATACTTACAATCCATGAAAACCCAACCAGTATACCTTGTCTTGAGAATTCAAATCACTAATGAAAAGTGCATCCCCAACATTGAAGATCAAGTAAGTTCCTTTCCCATCAAAATTTGGATTAGCCATGGAATTACTTGAACTTGAGACACCAATAGAACCAATCCTACTGTTTCCTCCATTGCTCTTGCTGCTACCATTGCCTCCAACAAAACTAAGTGCTCGGCTTCCATTGGTTCCTCCCAACAATCTAGCTGCCGCAGACCGTACCCCACTGCTGGCACTGAAACTCGAAGACGACGCAGTTGGGGTCGAAGGCGCTGGCTTGTCCTTGAGATGTGCCAGGGTTACCTGGACATTATTCAATCAAACCAACGGTATACTCATATCCTCAGATAAGTTCCGTTTTGACTCAACAAACAGTAATGAAAAAAAAAATTACAGAATTCATCCTGGAAAACAAGACATGCCATCCCTGAATTTGATTCTACAAAACAGCTAGAAGACAATAAAATAACAGGTGGAACTGATTGCTGAAAGTCAATAACTTATCCCAGAATGAACCCCCTCAAAAAAAAAAAAAGTGTTGCCAAAATTGAATTTAGAAGAGAAAATCAGAAACTTAATTGAAACAAAATTAGAAATGATAATAACGAATCACAAGGGGAAACCCTAGGAATGAATTCCAACATGAAGAAAGACGATGCTGAAAAGATAGATTGAACCTAACAGGCGTCGAAGAAAGCATCAACTCTACAACCCTAAAAAGAAGAAGAAGAAGAAGAAGAAAGAGTTGAGAGGGAGGTTTGGTGCAAACCTGAGTGACGGTTTTGCCATGGGCATAATGAAGGAGACCAGAAGGGTGAGTTTTTTCGTATTGAAGCTTATATCGGCCTTCGGGGGTTTTGAAATAGGTTTTGAGTCCAGGTGACTGAGCGGTATTCGATGAAGACGACGGGGACATAACGCCGTTCGCTGTGTTCATCGTCGTGCCGTTTCAGTTACGCACGATCATCACAATTTATTATGTTACTATGCTAGGGTTTCAAGCCTCCAACAATGGCTTCGTTTCCACTACAGATCAAAGGTTAGAAGAAGTAGAAAGAAAAAAAGAAAGAAAGAAAGAAAAGAACAAAAAACTTTGTGCGGCTTATTGATGTATACCCCTGGCAATGGCAATGCGAATTGGGAAGTGCTTGCTTTTTTTTTTGTTAATTCGGAAAACGGCACCTCGGTCAACGGAATGAACGGCCACGATTGCAGTTTGTAAATTAGTTATCTTTTTTTCTCTTCTTTCTTTATCTTATTCTTATCTGATTATTTCAGTTTTAAAAAACACAACTCTGCGACAACAACACACACAAGCAGAAAGGCTCGATGATGCCCTAACTAAACACTACCATTCAGTGTTGCGCTTGCTCGCACTCATATTATGCGCTATCACTTTCCGTGCTGTGTTTGTGTGCTGTTTCCATTCACCCAATGCCCATGTTCTGGTTTATGGACCCAAAAAAAAGCCCATGTTCTGGTTTTTGCGGTTATTAGGAGAATAACTTCTGGGCTAGATCCGTAAACAACATTGGACGCCAATTAGTATTTAATAGTCCACAATTACAGTAACAAGGGTGACGTGGCAAAATATCTAGATGAAATCTTGATAATTCATTAATTTATTCTCTTAATTATGATTTTATCTAATTTAAAAAACTTATTAAATTAAAAAAAATTGCCTGAAATGATCTTCTTACAAAATTTATAGCAGCTCGTCCCCTTCAAACGAAAGTGTCAACGACAAAACTCTGTTCCTAGTTTTGAATACTATTACTTTATCCGGAAATATAATCATCATGTTACATGAGACAAGTTACATCATGTTATAAAGACAGAATTGATGGGTCCACTGTTTAATTTGTTTTTTATTTTTTATTTAAACAATAGACCCAACCAACTTTATCTCTACAACATTATGTAACTTATATTATGTAACATGACCAAATACAATCTCTACTTTATCCGTTTTCGTGATTTTGCTGCTTACGTATATGTATACTATTATATGTTGGATTCGCTTTTTCTACAGTCATTATAGATAATTTATCTATATTGAACTCAAAATGATATTGTTTTGAGGCGAAAATTAAAGTATTTTTATAATTATAATTTATTTTAGGATTATAATAGTCATTTTCATTATAATTTTTTAATCCAAAATGACTTCGTTTCGGGAGCGAATATAGATAATTTATCTACATTCACTGCAAAAACATTAAAACCTTATATATATTATGGGAAAAATGTTTCTCAATACAAAAAATAAAATTATCTCCACTAATTTCAAAATTTTGTTATTTTGAGAGTTAAGGGAATAAATGAAGGATATTTTGATAATTTTGTTTATTTTACAAATTTTGCCAATATATTCTTAATTAATTCTTTTAACTTTCAAAACTACGTAGTTTTAGAATTATAGAAAATAACTTATCTCTTGCCACTGGAGAAACGATAAACTCATATATTATATGTGGGAAAAATATTTTTATTTTTGTTGCAAATTTCTTTTCTGCCACACTAATATAAAATTGAATGAGTTAGAACCCACTAATTTTTATGTGAGTATCACAAAAAAAAAATTTACTGTAAAAGCATAAATATTAAATTCAATGTATATATATATATGTATTAGTGTTATTTTTATAATTTTTTTTGCTTACAATTTATTTTTTCATCATTAATTTTTATTAATCCAGCAATTATAATTTATTAAAATTAATAACTAATTAATAAATATAATCTAATAAATAATTACAGTACTTTGTTTTGCTTTTCTAAGTTGACGTTCCAGGTAAAGGCATTCGCTAAGATGGACAGATGGGCATCCATGGCCAATATTATTGATAAGATTATCAATGACCCCGGCATGATAATAATTGCCACTTGTGTTTTTGGGTATTAATGTCATTTTCAACTACCATAAAGTTGATTAACTTGAAGCTGAAGCAAAACTAACAACATATTAATAAATAATTTAATGGGAAAGCATACCGCTTCATGTTTTAGCAGTTTTTATTGTGCTCGACTTTTTTTCCCTCTTCAAAATTTATTTATTAATTGTTGATTCCACCCGAGGGAAAAATGGGTGTACTCAGAATTAGATTTTTAGTTGAATTAAATCAAATTAACTTAAATAGGTTTAGTTCAGAACTATTTTATATTTTTTTTAAAACCGATTCAAAACCTGTTAAAAAATGATTTGAAACCGGTTTAGAATTAGTTCATGCTTTAGAATTAATTCATGACTGATTTAGGTATATAAACCCATTCTGAACCTGTTACAAAATGGTTTGGTTTTCGAATTAGTTCTTTTGGTTCGGTTTAAATTTGAAACAGATATAAAAAATCAATTCAATTCTCAAAACAAAATTAGAAAAATACGATTCAGTTTCAGTTCACTTGGTTATTTTACACATTCCTAATTTAAATGTAAATGCTTCAAGTTCAATAAATATTTATCAATAACCAATAAACATTAATATTCAACAAGTAATAAAGCTACTAATATAAGATGACTACTGTACCGTTGGAATCTATAAGCTCACTATGTTCCCTTTAGGGATGAGTCAATGTATGGATGATACCCTTAGCACAGGTACAGACCAAGCTAAGGGGTATGGTGCCAAATACAAGCAAAGTAATCAATGGATAAGCTAGGGTGATAAAATGACTCTAAGGAAATGGACAGTATAACGATACATAAGATGCTCTAGGGGGTGTCCTTGAGAGCTATTTATAAGGGAAGATTGTGCTTATCGGGTGAAGGTTGGTGGGAAGAAGGTCAACTCTCCTTAGGGCCATATGCCGATGGCAATGTTGGGCGTGACAGGTGCTACCATCGTAGTAGTGCTGTGCCTTCTGCGTCTGGCGGTGTCAGCATAGGTCACAGGGGGATAGTTTCCTCTTAAGGCATTTGAGCGATCGCTTTCGGGAGTTGAGGTCCCTAGTGGGATTCTTTGGTGTTTAGCCTTGGAAAGTTACCACATTGGGGGTATGCGTCGCCCTAGCTGGTAGGACTGACGTGGATGCTTGGTAAGTGCTGAGCCTTGATTATTGGGCTTGACTCTTGTTAGGCCATCCGGAACAACTACTATGCTAATAGTAATATAATTTAAATACGAGTATAACTGAAATCATATTAAACTAAATTCAAATTTCAATCCCATATATTATATCAATTTATATCTGGCTGTTGTTTCTGCCTCCCAAAGCAATTCTCGGTCCCTCTCCCTCCCTGTAATGTCATCCCTTTAGAAAGAAAGAAATTGATTGTTTGAGGGCCTCTTGCCACCTTATACAAATTACAACCTTTCACCAAACTTTTACCAAACTAATTTCCATTCACCCTCTCCTTAATAACACACATTGTATACATATATATATAAACACACTACACCCTTTCCTTCCACTCGTAACAAAATCATAGTCACTTCCTAACAACAATGGCAAAGCTATTCCATTTCCTCCCTCTGCTATTCCTCAACACCATGATCTTCTTCCAAACAATCACTGCACAAACAGCAGCAGTGGCTCCAGCACCAGCAGGACCCCTCAACATAACCAAAGTTCTAGAGAAAGCAGGCCAATTCACAACCTTCATTAAGCTACTCAAAACCACACAAGTAGCTGACCGCATCAATTCACAGCTTAACAACTCGAACCAAGGCCTTACAATCTTTGCACCCCCTGATAACGCCTTCTCAAGTCTAAAAGCAGGGACAATCAACTCCATTAGCACACAAGACCAACTACAACTTTTGCAGTTCCATATCTTACCCACTCTCTACACCATGTCACAGTTCCAAACTGCTAGCAACCCTTTGCACACGCAGGCTGGGAACAGTGACGATGGTGAGTACCCTTTGAATGTTACCACCTCAGGGAACCAAGTGAATGTAACAACTGGGGTGGTTGATACAACTGTGTCCAACACTATATATAGTGATAACCAGCTTGCGGTGTATCAGGTGGATAAGGTGCTCCTTCCTTTGGCACTTTTTGGCCCAGCTCCGACCGCCGCACCGGCAGAGGCTCCGGCGCCGACCAAGCCGGAGAAAAATGTCCGGGCTTCTGATGCTCCGTCCGGGTCGTCGGATTCATCGGTTGATGCTTCTGGTGCTGTGGGTCTGAATAGCCAAACAGTTAAAGGTGTTACCTTTACTGTTGGAGTTGTGTTCATGATTGTTTCTTGTTTGTGGATGTAAGTCTTGATATTGTTCAATTTTCTTCACTTTTATTTCCTTCTTATTTTTCCCTCCTCGAGCGAGTTTGAGTTTGTTGATGATGCAGATTTTGTGTACTGTTGTGGATGCAAAGTTAAGAAAAATTTGGGTTCAATATAAATGATTTTGTTTTCTTCTTTCAAATTCCATGATTGAGAAATGAGGCTCTTTGTTTATTTATTTTTTATGTGTTTGCTTATCAATTATCATACACTTCTACAATGCAATGGTGAAATTTTTGCCCAGCCAATGCAAATTGGGTTGGCACTTGAATTTCAAATAGAAATCACAAAAACGGTTCCTTATCGTAGTAGACAAGTGCCCAACGTATTGTCATGGTCATGGCCCCAAAAATTAGATATAATCAACGCATAATATATTTCTCCAATAGAATGAAAACTCATGATATTAAGTATGAGTTAGGCTTATTTTGCGTTCCAAACAACAATCCATAATCAAAATCTAAATGATAAAACTTCTAAAAAAAAATTTACTCAGAAATTAATCAAATCCAACAATGGACTAGAACGCATCAACTTTATAGCATGGGAGTAGCAAGGCTACCAATTGGAAGTAAACCCAAAAATACATAATAATAAAAAGTGTTTTTTCCGCCATTAATGTAGATAAGTTATCTACGTTAAGCTTAAAACGACGTCGTTTTATGACGAAAACTAAAATATTTTTGTAATTATAATTTATTTTAAAATTATAATAGTATTTCTGATAATAATTTTTTAATCTTTCGATCCAAAATAAAATTATTTTAAAAGTAAATGTAAATAACTTATTTACATTTACTGTAAAAACATCAAAACCAATAAAAAAAGGGGCAAAAAATAATGGAAAATATTTTTCCATGTTGCATGAAACAAAATTATCACATGCACACACAAAAGTGAATGTGACTCACTTTTTTCTTTTTCTCTAATCTTCTTAATAGATCCCACCCATTTTTTCATATGTTGCATGAGAATATATACCATGAGAAACATATTTCTCAAAAATAATATAGCCGACTAATGGCTATAATTTCAGAGAATAAATGAAGGGCATGCACAAGTAGAGTGGCAAATCCAACTAATGTCAATTTCTTACCGCAACAGCTTGATAGTGTATATTGTAGAGCAACGGGTATAGCAAATAAATTAAAATTTTCATGCGTGACAGTTGCAACTAAGTAGGCTTCAGAAAAAACTCAAGTTTCCGTGGTATTAATTGTGAAGCAATTGAATTGACTTAAATATGTCAAAAAGTATTATGGTTGCCTGGAATTTAAAGTCATCGTTACATAATGACAACCACCACATAAACCCAAATGTGGCTACATCAAAATGTGCCCTCCTTAACTAACACCCACCCCATCACTTTTGCACAAAGCAAAAAGTTTCCTCTGAAGCACATTTCTTATCTTACAAGCATTTGTGGGATGGCCTACGTATTTACCTCAACAACCGTTAGCAAGTGATTAGTCAATATTATTGGTGTGGTCCCTTTCAAGAAATCAAGAAAGTCTGTAACTTTCGCTTAAGAAAAACATCAGTAGTACGGCTTTTCCAATCTTCACCCATTAAAAATGAAATTCATACCCGCCAGGAAAGCCACCTCCAAATCCACCACCAGGGAAGCCACCTTCAAAAGAGAAGGTATACTGCTGCCCTCCACCACCAAAGGGGTTGAAACCTCCGCCGCCGCCGCCGCCGCCACCCATTCCCGTTTCTTCTAGGTCCTCCCCTCTGTCATACCTTGTGCGTTTGTCTTCATCACTGAGAACCTAAAACACAATGCAACAATCAGTTATTCAATAAATACTCAAGTAGAAAAGCAAGGGCATACTAATAAAAAAATAAGGCATAATAGTCATGACTAAGACCTCATATGCAGCAGCAATTTCTCGGAATTTAGCCTCTGCTTCTTCCCTATTGTCAACATTCTTATCTGGGTGCCATTGTAAGGCAAGCTTCTTGTAGGCACGTTTTATATCAGCAGCGGAAGAAGTTTTTGAAATTCCCAAAATTTTGTAGTAATCCTTGCGTTTGCTCATCTTTAAAGCTTTTTCAGCCCTCATTAATGCTTCGCGGATATTCATATCCTGCAGTTATAAAAGTATTAAGGTTTTTCGGCCCTCTACTACTCAAACACAACAAAAAATATTAAGGTTATAAAAGTATTACAGTATCAGAGAATCATATTTACTATGTTAATGAGGCACTTTTGTATTTAATTATAGTGTAAAAACCCAAATCTTTTTACACTAACAATGGTCGAATTTAAACTCTAAGAATAACTACTAGTACTAGAAGCATGAAACAGGAAGAAAAGGCAAAGTATTTTTCAGTGCTTAAAATTAATACAACTAAAGACATTTCTGAATTCTCCAAACCACTCATACACAACAAATACAAATAATAAATAACAGGGTTTGAGTCAACAAATAACTAATGGTGCTTAAAAAATTTAATTAATGCATCATATAAATTAATAAAGTAAGAGGCCAAGGGACTTCATTCTTAAATGTTTAACAAATTAACAACTGATTCTGAACTAAGGCATTAACAAAAATGAATATTTGTACAGTACTGCTGAGGAAAGTAAGAAGCAAAAGAAATATGTAAGTTCTTCGACCTATATGAATAGATATTGACGAGCTTTCCTTAGTTGATCCATCTCTATCTCTCTTATTTTTTTGGGTGTGTTTAGGTGTGTGTTCTTGTATCTTTAACAAGGATTTCTTATCCTCAATTAATGTACTCACCTACTCTCTCCTCTTTTTCAAGGACTTCTTAGCAGGAGGAAGAAGAATTCAAAATGGAACTTGGAATATTTGTTCCTCACAAGACTCCTTCTAAATGCTAATTTATTATGGTGATTTGGATTTGGAACCGCAATAAGAGTTCAAAATATATAACAAACCTGAGGAGATTTTTGAGCAGCTGATTTCAGATCCTCCACAGCTCCCTCCCAATCCTCTGTTATGAGTTTAGCTTCTCCCCTCTGCAATGTTGAACATCAAGATAAGTTACTAAGTGCAGCCTACAGTATATGTTACTGCAATGAAGTATTTGTCCAACCTCACACCACAAGGCATCGATAAATGAAGAGTCAATTTTCTAACAGACTATGGACAAATAATGCTAAATCAGAAAACAAGCACTATGATGTTTTAAGGCTACAACCTGAACGAGTGCTTCAATCAGCTCCTCGTTGATCTTAAGAGCTTCACTACAACTGTTCAAGGCGTCTTTTCCTCTGCCAAGCTTGACTAGCACTTTACATAAGCCAAGATGAAGATGTACATTATGTGCTAGATGGTTAGGGTCAACAGCCAGTGCACTTTTGAATTCCTCCACTGCCACTCGTAGCTTACCCTTGCTGGCATTATCTTCAGCCTTTATGAATCACGTAGAAATAAAAAAGCAACAATTCTTCAACACACAAGAGAAAGAAGAAAGGAAAATAGACTTGAGAAGGAATGCAAAAAGAAATTGCAACAATATCAGGGCTTACACTTTTACTCTTTTTGAGTAGATTTTTCAATCCGAAATATGCTTTTTTCAGCTCACTGTGCTCTGGATCTAGGCGGAGACCTTTCTGGAAATGCCTGAACATATGTCAACATATAAGATGGATTATATCAAAAATAAGAATATAACAAGAATTCAACAACATCTTCCACAAGAAGAACCTCGTGGCAACATCATGATCAGCTAAATAGTAATATGCACGACCACGTAACAACAATGCCTCTAAATTATTTTCATCTTCCTTGAGCATAAACCCAGACTCAGCAATGGCACTCTCATACTCTTTATCAGCTATCAACAACTTCACTTTAAGAAGCTTAGCCTGTAGAAAATAAAGCATATGGAGTTAACATGCCGGTTGCACATATCAATTCCAAGCCTAAACCAAATGTATAGGCTTTCACATTCAGACTAAATAGTGTAACTACTGAGACACTAAACTGAAATGATATTAATGGAACTGGTAGAGCATAAAAAAGTTACCTTAGTGCATGCTGGAGAAAAAACAAGAACAACTTTGTCAATATATTCCAGAGATTTTGCGAAGTTTCCCAAATCATAGAGGGACTGAGCTGTTTCTAGGGAACTTTGAGCCTGCAACAGCTGAGAGAGCTCCTTTTCTGCAGCTGAATCTCCAGGTTTTAACTCCAGAAACTTTTTGTAGCTCCTTTCAGATTGCTCATATCTACATTAGCCAAAAAGCACCTGAATGATATAACTTTCCAATTAGGAGTTTGAGAGACTTGGAAGGAGGCGCAGGACATGGCATGATGGTTAGTTTCTGAAACTAATAGAATCTCAAGAAATCAGGGATTCCTGTCATTTCTTTCCGAACTTTAGGAAGGGTTGGGGGGAAAAAATGGTTCTGCTGTTTTCCCGATGATTGATTGATAAAAAGAAGGTTTGGTATATATCCCTCCTTCCCCAAAAAACAAAAGTACATTTTTTTAATACAATTAATTTTGAACTAGTCAGTATTAAATAAAAAACAGCATAGTCTAAAAAACAAACTTAAATGTATATAAAGGAATGCTAAAGAGGAAGTACACTTTAGTAAGCAACATATTAGATTAATAAAACAGAAAAGGAAAACAAAATAAGATGTGCTTTATTTATATTTAACACTTCCCAAAGCTTAACCAAGCATTTAACACGGAATGCTCTCTAGGATTCATAAACCGGAGGGAGGAGTAATACTTGCAAATGAACCATACCTACATAACTGACGAAGAACTGATGCACGGTAAAGGTAAGCTTCTGAAAGGGTTGGATCTGCTTCTATAGCAGCATTCAGATCATCAAGTGCCTCAGTATAATGTTTCACTTTTATACTTTGTGATGCCCTCTCAAACAATTCAGCAGCATTTCCAGATTTTCCACCTGAAAAAAAAAAAAAAGGCAAAGACTGTTCAGGCAACAGACAGCACTTGGTTATTGAACAATTACAAAACTTCTAGAGGAGTGATAAAAATAGGAAAAACATTTTCCAGTGGGATTGTGCAGTTAAATTGTATATAACCCTAAAGGATAAATGTGGTTTCCTGATTAAATTAAAAATAAAAAGGAGAGGCAAACTACCATATGCCACGTAATTTGATAATCTATGGTAACAAAAATTTCACTTTACAGAGCTACTTTCTTAGTTTCTCACTTTCTCACTATGGTCCAATAAAAGATGTATGGCAAAAGATTTAGTTCAACCTTCCATTCACTTTTTGATTAACTTGTACAATAATACCTATCCCCAAAATACAATATTTTGATTGGTGCACCATTATGTGATGCCGCTTACCATTTTTCTTTAGCAGATAAATGAATAAGAAATATCAAAGATCGACTAATGGAGAAAGACCAAGAATATACCATGCATGGAATAAAACTGAACAACTGAAAAAATTAAACCAATCCAGAAGATCAGAAAAAAAGATTATAAGAAGAACAGAAAGAAGCCGTTAAGACATAAATCTGTCCAGCTACTACGAAAGAAATTAGCCAACGCAAAGAGCATGGCCTTCAACAGGGCTACTTGGAAAACATGTCATTGTGGGGGAAAACACAAGGGAGTCATGGTGAAATCATTCGGGATCAGGTATATGTAACATTGTTTTGTACTATTGAATAAATCCAACTGACATAGCAACATCATAAACATGTCTTGTTAATGCTTGTTTAGTTTTTGATGTAAACTGTCAGACTACATAAAAAGTCCCCACAAATTACCACTCTAAAATCCTGAATAATTCACAGTAGATTAACCATCCCTTGATGCATAGTCCAAGGTCTATTAGATGACATTGATATATCTTAGAAAAAATGTGTAATTTGGTTAATAGCAGCCTACTATTTCAAATGCACTCTTTTCTTTACAAAACACAAATCGTCATTGACGATATATAAAAATGCAGCGACTATTCCACAGTTAAATGCAGAAGTTTTTGTCACTGCAGTTCAGGAATCAGTTCCACATCAAATAAATACGTTCCTTACAGGACCCCATATATAAAGACCCGAAATTTAAACTGTCACAAAAAAAATAAAAATAAAAAATAAATACACCCACGAAACAAAGTTCGATCCAAGCATTGAAGTTATGAAATTTAATTGGGGGAAAAATGAAAACGAAAATTAAATTAAAATGGGGAGACAAACAAGAAAAACAATTCAATCGGTACAAACAGATCAGAATGTACCTGAAGCAGAAACAAGAGGTTGAAGGAGAATGAGTTGGCAGACCAAAACAAAATTGAGTATGAAGAATGTGTAGAGCAATCCCCTGCACGCCACCGAATCCATGTTGAGCAACGAGAAACCGATAAGACTACCCATTGGGATCTTCCTCTATTGTTTCAATTCCTTTTTTCTGTTATCGTCGCATTCGCAGAGGAAGAACTCGAGGGCACTGATAGCCAGAATCGCCACACAGCGTCTGAATATTTTTTAAAATTTTAATAAATCAAATGATAATAAACTGATAAGAGTTGGAACAAAACGAAACCTAGTAGCTACAACGATCTACATGTCATCCCACGTAGTTTTCGCCAATGACCGGGGTACACGTGTAGTTTTAGACCAATAGTCTCTCCCTTTATTGCCAACTGTACAAAGCATGGTCTAATTACAATCTGCCACGTCGTTTGGCTTCTCTTATAATGCCATGTCATCATTTTCATTTTTAGAGTTTTATTCAACAGCATTCGCTTATCCACAGTCCAAACAGAAAATATCAAGGGGTATTGGATTAGAATTTAAAAAAAAAAATTGAAGATAAAATTTTTTATATATTTTAAAAGGCTATTTAAAATTGGAGAAATTTTAAATACTTTTTCAAAAGATTTTTTTTAAAATCAAGATTTCATAAGATTGGATTTTAAAGGATTTTAATAGAATTTATAAAATTTTAAAGAACGATATGAATTTATAAAATTTTAAAAAATCATATGAATTTTTAAAAAACATTTAAAATTATAGGGATCCATAAAAAATAACAAAGAAATATAATGATATTAATAAAAAAAGTAAAATCTAATATAATATTCTCAATCCGTAAAATTCATGATAAAATTTTGTTTGGAATTTTTTTTAATTGATCTTGTAAACCTTGGGGTCTTTATTCTATGTGATGAGAGTTTTCTAACCATGTATCATATGCATGTTTTCATTGAGTATTCCAAGAAAATTTCGAATATGAATTTCTAGGTTTTATTACATGAAAGTTTAAAAAATTTCTCAAATTATTTTCAATCAATATATTGAAATCTTAAAATGCTTTGGGGCTTTTAAAAAATAAGCTTTTAGTGATCTATTGATACAAAAAGTGTTTGAAATCGTTTCCTATAGCGAAGGAATTTCGTTCATGAATGTATTGTAATAAAACATAGGGTTCATATTATGAAAATTTCAATCTTTTTTTAAATCGATCTTGTTTCGTTAATGTAAATCAAAAATTGGTTTGGGGTTTTTGTTTTCTTGTTTTTTACCACTGTTTTATGTTGTTTTTAATACAAATATCATATATTTTTGTGCCAAGAAAAATTACGACAATAGCTTGAAAAATCATTTATTAAACATTCAAAATCGCTCAAAATTTTGCTATTTTTAAAATGTTGTTGGGTTGTTGTTTCTCGGTTATTTTATGATGAAAATCGCTCAAAAATCAACTATTTTTAGCTTTGACGAAGTTCTCATGACGAGACCTGGTTTTAAGCGGTCGACCTGCCAAATAAAAAAAAAGGCATTGTAATGGAGAAATCTCAAGGAATCCTAGGGTTAGGATGAGATTGTGAAAGAGGCATCCTATTTATATTTATCACTAAAAAGTCTCACGAAATCTACACTAATAGAAAATCCATTAAAATTATCAGATTTTTGAATACCACAAGATTATTTTCCTTTGTTTCAAATCGTGATTAAATATCAAAGTATTTGGACGGACTCTAAAATAATCTTTTAAAATCCTAATCGAATACTACGTGACTTTTTTGCAATCTTTTAAAATCCTAATTGAATATCAATCGATTTTTTTGTCCAAACATAATTCATTAAAATTCTTTGAAATCTCAATCTAATACACCCCCAAGAATTATGCCAAAGAAATTTGGTATTAGAAAAATTAACAATAACAATCTAAAAACAAACTGATTGTTTTTTATTCAGATACAAATAATGTGCTTAGTTTTAGAATTTAACTTATTTAAATTTTAATGTGTCGATTTTTCTTCTTCTTCTTTTTTGGTGAAAGGAAAAAACATCATTCAACAAAATATGTCCACACAATTTCGGGAGAGACTAAAAACATAAAGACCTACATGCTTATAATCAGCAAATTAACAAATCAACTTGTCAACCAGTTAGTTCTCACCATCTAATGAACACTTCCAAGAGGATTGGATAGCGTAAATATCAGATAAGTAGGTGTGTATCAGGGTAAATAAGGATATATACAAGGGTAACTAGGTGTATCAGGGTAAATAAAGATATATACCGGGGTAACTGGGTAGGTACCCGGGTAAATAACTTCCTACCTGAGTATTTGGGTGGTCTACCCCGGTATAAACTCAAATTATGTAAAAACAGTTATATTCCACGAAATATATCCGGGTAATCGGGTCAGTACCCGAATAGCTATGTGATCAACGGTCAAACAGAGTAAGATTGATGTTATGTTTGTTGAGAATGTTAAATTTTTGAAATAGTTTATAAACGGGGACACGATGATAATTTTTTATTAGTTAAAGGCTACAATGGTTAAAAAGCCGATGGACTATGTTTTTGACTATTGGCTTGTTGGTTTGGAACATGTCTTTAAACAATAAAATATTATTTTTGAATTCAACATATGAAGAGAGTCTAATATAGCATCACTTAATCGAAGAATCAGTGTATATGATATGCCTACAGCATATGTAAAAATCTAAGCCAAAAAGAAAAAGAATCTTGGTCAATCCTGGATAAAAAGGGCTAGAATTATTGATTATTTGATAAATCTCAATCAGAGATCACGCAACTGATTACCTTCTGATTTTGCAGGAAAACAGGACAAAAAGAAGCCCAAGTGAAAGTTTCCAAGCTGAAGCCCCACGCTACTAGCGTGGAACTCGCGCTAGTAGCGCCAGAATTAAATTTTATCCAGAGGCATCCACGCTCACAACGTGAAACTCGCGCTAGTGGCGCCAAGCATTCTTGAAACCCACGCTCAGAGCGTGGACTCCTAGCCTTGTTAACAGAACTCCCACGCTCACAGCGTGGGAACCACGCTAGTAGCGTGGGAGGTGCGGACAAATCAACAGTAAATCCTGTTCTGTATCAGCGGAAGATTAGACGAAGATTTACGACGAAGATTCAATTAAGATATCTGAGCAAGACACAAAGTCTATAAATAGAGGCTTAGATTCCCAGAGAAAAACATCTTTGGCTGGAGAGAATTGTGAGGATCAAAGAATTGAGAGAATTCTTGGAGACTCGTGCTGGAGATCAGGATTCCACCAGAGTTGAAGGCTGAAGACCATTGAGTTTTTATTCTTTTTCTTCTTTTCTTCTTAGTTTATGAACAATTTTTATTCTTTTAATTTGTTTAAGTCAGACATGAATATGTCTGGCTAATTTGTTTTTGTAGTTGGGATCACAGATCCGATGTGAATCCTTTATATTTTCTGTATTGATATTTTATAATTTAATTAGTTAGTTTGTTTTATTCTACCTGGTTTAATTTTTCCATATCCTGTTTAGAATTGGCCACTCTAAATTATAGGGCTTTGAGGGTTAGAATTCAAAATAGACATATTGGGGTTTTAATCTGGATAAGGGTAGAATAACAATTTGTGTATGATCTAGACATAGGCTTACATAAATTGCGGGTTCATAATTCATTTGTTTAATGCTTAATTCAAGAGGGATTACTAAGACATTAGAATTCTAATTGGGTTAAAGGGTTGAAATCACTAAGACATTAGGGTTCAACTATTTTATAAGGAAATAATGAATTGTCTGAACGAACGAATTAATTAATTATAAAATACAATATAGGAATATAAGGAAGGATCGGAGGTGAAGTGCATCCTGGTTACATCTTTTTTATAATATTTTCATCAATATTTTCTCGCGTTCTTGATCTTTTCTTGCATGCGTTCAAAATTAATTGTTATTAATTTCCTATTTTAAATTTAATTGTTTTTAAATTCTATTTTGAATTCCAAAATCAATTACTTTCACAAACCAATCCAATTTTTATTTTCCAACTTAAGGGGAATAGTTAAACTAGTACTTGGTGCATTAATCCTCGTGGAAACGATACTCTACTTATCACTTTATTACTTGAAACGAACGGTAAACTTGCTGATTTCGTAACAATATCCTTACCAAAGAGGTATTCTAAAATATCTTTTTTTCAATGAATTTTTTTTAGGATTTTGTTATGTTGAGAATTGTTACTTAAACGATGGTAATGTGATGCTCAGGACCTGTTTGGTGTGACGTATAAGGCATGATAGTATAAGCTTATACTATACGTTATGACATTTTCAATTGTTTGGTGTGACCATCGTATAGTATAAGCTTATACAGCATAATCCCTTAATACATCAAAACAATGTATAACTTAATCTGACCTAAGGGTAAGGGATAAGGCTTGATAAGAGATTGATGTATTAATATCGTTGACCAATGTAATTCTCAAAAGTTAATATATTATTTTAATATTAATCTATTAAAATAAAAATTAATTTTTCAATATATTAATTTTTAAATTATTGAATATTTTTATTTTTATAAAAATTATTTTATATTTTGGACACACTAATCAATAAATTTTTATAAAAAATTAATATCATATGACATTTTTTGAAGAATTATATAAATTATTTATTAAATGATATTTTTATTAAAAATATGTATTTTTTATCATATATAGCATTATACAGTACATTACCAAATACTAGATGATATTATCTTATACAATATATTATTTTATACAATACCGTGCCAAACGCTGGATAGTATTAAAATTTAATCAAGTCTTATACTATCAGGCTTTATCCTATACTATGCACCAAACATGCCATCAACGTCGATCATGGGATACTTGTTGCTGCAAATGTGAGAACATATGATATTTTTTAGAAAACATTTTCAGATTCAGATGAATAACTCAATGCGTGCTAAGTGCAAGGCAAAATATACTGGGCCAAAACACAATTATTGCACTTGCACAAGATGAACACAAGACATGGGTTCAGGCTTTTGGAGCTGATCAGTTTGATACAACAACCCAGAGGAATGCAGGGCCAAAAGTTCATTTTTTTTTTTAATTGGTTGTAGTTTTACCCTTAATGAAGGTCTCTTTGTGACTGTTTCCATCTTGAACTATGTTCAGCATGATGTAGAAGAAAGGGGCCTTCTTTTGAGGATTGGTAAGGTGTCTATTGTTGCAGTCAACAATTGGCGAATTACCTCTTCAGCAATCTGCCTCACAAAGCTTCAGAACAATTTAGGTAACAATCAACATCAAGAAGCATTTTTTTCTTTTCTTTCTTCCCCCATATATTGATGCCTTAATAGAAGCTCAAAATATGAAACAATTAGAACTCCTCTAAACTTAAGTACGAACAAACTGCTTTCCTTCGATATTTTCGACCTGACTAGATTTCATTCTCCTAGTCATTCGGGTAATTTAAAATGAAGTTATTGTCCATTTATATTTTATTTATTGGACATCTTCGGTGTTGTCATCAATTTTACTGACTAAGCTTTTTTCCATTGCCAAGTATAACTTTTAGTTCTCTTCACTTTATAAGCAGGAATTAAGTCAAACTAATTTTAATAATTATTATAATTTTTTTTATAATGAAGAAAAAAACTAAATGCTAAAAGCTCTCAAGAAAAGTTTTTTTAAGATGTATTCCAATTTTTTTGACTCATAATTTATTTTATAATTTTACTCTTATTCTAAATCTATAGCTAATCGAGTAGCTCTAGAAGCGTGTGTACAAGCTCAGAATGAGGGGCACCAGCTTATGTTTACAAATTTTATTATTTACCCTTATAATTTATTATAATAATAAATTATTTTATCTCCCATCCTTCAAAACTATCAGAATAACCGTTACTTTTAGTTTTTTTTTTTAAGTTTTTTTTTTTTTACTTTAACTTAATTGTAACTTTTAGCTTAAAAATAAAATAAAGAGAAGTGTCAAATAGGCTCTTAGAACATTACTCCTAATTAAGAAGGAAAAAATATTTTATTTTTATTTTTTCTTTCACACTCACATAAAAATAAATAAATTTTATTATGAAAAAGATATTGAAAAAACTAGTCGGATCCACCTACTTTTTCATGAATGTGAGAAAAAAAAAATTGGAGGAAAAACAAAAGTATTAAACCCTATCAGGAATTAAGGTTTGCACATATGCCTTAATATCTCTCTTTATTAATCTGTGATGCATATAGCCCATCAAAAATAAGTTATATGAGGGTCCCGAGTGTTGGAACGTATGCAACAAAATCAAGCGTGCAAGAAACTATTAATGAGTTAAATATAACATCTCTAGGGACCATTGGTGCGGGTTTCCCACTTGGCTTGTTGGTTTGGAGATTGTCCTTCAGCCTCAAGTTTTCAGTTCGATTCCCGCATAATTGAGGGGGAAGAGTGATAAGAGATGAAAATGAGGTATTCTAAAATACCTCTAATTTTAATCGATTTTTTTTTTTGGGTTTTCGTTTGATAATCTAATACTCCACGCCACGACCTTCAAAGGAAATGATAAGAAAAATAAATAAATAACTGTAAACAATTGTTAGCAAATAAAGGAGTTCAAAGTCCAAAGAAATTGGTTGGCTCGACTCAGGTCTCAAAAAACTGGTCGTGAAAAGTACCAATGTAAAGTTGTAATCTCGTTAGGCAATTAAAAATGCTTTGCCTTTTTCTTTTGGGGTATGACCTAGCTAGGGATTGCTTAACCTCTACATACACCACCAATTGGCCATTGGACATGTACAGGCTCTCCTAAGTCCTAGTCTAACCCATTATTTCATTTTCAACGATAATGAAAAGATTGGAAAGTCAAACTCAGTTTTGTAACCATATTAATAAGGTTATATTTATATCATGTTACATAAGATAAATAATTTTCTATACACATAAAAGAGAAGTGAGTCTCATATCTATTTTTTTTTCTATTCTTGTATATGTGGGTTTCACTTGTAATTTTATTTTTACTACATGAAATAAATTTTTTCTTATAACATAAAAAAACCATTTCCCTATTAATAAAGTAACAAAGAATGAGGGTCGATCGACGCTTAGAAGTTAGAACACTGTAAAGCAAAACGAAAGCATTACGGTGTACTGGGCCTACTGGCTTGCTTTCTCGTGGCATTATTTAAGAGAAAAAAATAGGTTAGTTGTTTAATCAAATGCCAAATGTTATATGCATATTTAATAATGTGTAAATTATTTACTTTAATAGCGAAGAAAATAATCATCATTATTATAACATATCCAACGTGTCAAGTTCTTGAAATTTGCAAAGGAGTTATGATTTGTGTTTCGGTTTAGAAAGAAAAACAGTATAACTGGTTGACCGCGTGTCAATTTCGTTTGGTTTCATCACAACCAGGATGCATTTTCCGATCCAGCCCACACTAACTGCAATAATGGGCCTGTTCGGAGACTATTAACCAGGTAGACATTGATTATAATTTATATTTCCAGTACCAATTACCGCCGGTTTCCCAAGTGGCTTGTTGGTTTAGGATGATATTTCCTAATCGCAAACTACTCGGTTCGAAGCCAGCATAGAGAGAGAAGAAGAGATAAAGGGGACAACCTATGAGGTATTCTAAAATACCTCTCTTTTTAATGGATTTTATTTGGGTTTTCGTTCTTTTTTTTTATTTTTTTAAAAAAATATATATAAAATAACAATATAATACTCGTCGACCTTGCAAAAAGATTACAAAATCAAATAAACAACAGTAGACAATTGTTAGAAAATGAAGAAGTTCGAAGTCCAAAGAATTTTCTTGGCCCGACTCGGGTCTCAAAAAGCTGGTCGTGACAAGTACCAATAAAAAGTTGTAATCTCGTTAGGCAATTAAAAATGTTTTGCCTTTTCTATATGTCCTATTAGCCTACTGACGAACAAAGTCCAACATAATCAATAGATAATTGGATCTTTTAATCATGTTGATAGAAATTCAATCCTTAACTGTATGTATAAAAAACACTTTGTTGGTAGAAATAAGATATACTTTGATAATCTCTACGTTTCGGTTGAGGATTATCTTGAAGAAACTCAAAAATTAAAATAAAATTAGCCTACCTATTTACTTAATTTTCGATGCATAAAGCCTTATTTCCTTTTACCTAGCTTATATTTAATAACGATAGTGAAAAGCTTTGGAAAGTCAAACTCTGTTTTATAACGATCCCCAAAGCACGTGCCGCAAGGACAAGGCCTACCATAGATCGTGTGGGCATGCATGCAATATATATTTCTCTTAATAAAGCAACAAAGAATGAAGAACGATCGACTACTTAGAACACTACTGTAAAACAAAACAAAAGCATTACCAGAGTAAAATTTCATTAAAACTCATAACATGTGTCTGAAATTGGAATGGGATAACTTTCTAATTACTAGGACATAAATATTAAATTGCAATTGGCTGTGGTTAGCGGCTCAAACGAAACCTTAATTGTTTAACGCTGGATAGCCAAAAACGGGAGTGGATCCTCTTACGTGAAAAAATGATTATGTGATCATGTTATTTGATCATAATAATTTATTTAAAAATTATATATTTTTTTCTCTCTTATCTGATCATCAATAAGTGATTATGATCAAATAACATAACCACATGATCACTTTTTATCACTTTTTCACATAAGAGGATCTACTCCCGCTAGAAACTATGGTATAATAATTACGGTCTATTGAAAAGCTAGCCTAGCATCTACATTCTAGCTACTTAATATTAGTGTGCAGCACTTGATATGTATCTTCCAATCAAGGAGCGTGAAGTCCTTATCTCCTGATCCTGAATTTCCTCTTAATCATTATTGTTTATTCCTATAATTACTAAATATATCATATCCTACGTGTTAAGATCTTCTTCTTGTTGTTTTGTAATGATAGCGATGTGCAAACTAATCAATAAGCTACTCACTAGCCTTAATTAATCCTAGCTGTTTAAGATGTGAGCTAATAATTTTTGGCTTTAGTTTTTGTTGTTGTTGGTATAATGACATCAATCTGCAAACTAACCAAGCTACTCGCTGCTAATTAGGTTGGGTTAAGATGGTAGCTAATAATTTCTTTGTAATTAACCCACCAAGGTTGACTGACGGTCAACAATAATAATATATAATATCCAATACGTTGTTTTTCTGCACTTCGAATTCTCGGTTTTTCTAGTTCCTTTTATAATTTTATATCTTCTTTCACTTCTCTCAAGGAAGAGAAACCAAAAACGATAACATGGTTTAAGACAGAAGACCAACCAACAAACAAGAACAACTACTAGCAGAACATGCACGACTCGGGGAATTCGCTGCTATTCCTTCATTCATTTCAAAGTTCAAACATGCAGTGGGTCCCCACTACCCTCTGAACAGCTGGCAACACAAATTGGTATCTCTGTGAGAAGCACGAACTCGCTATAACTTAGGTTCCCAAAAATTTGGTGTTATTTTACATAGTTCCATACACTGATACACATGAATTGGGGTGGCTTGACTTCATTGATGGCCTGCAGTGAAATGGTTCAAACCCATTGATGAGCCTATGGAAGCAAACTTTGCCAACTCTTGGGGTAGGAATGGATGGCCTGCAGCTCCTCCTCCACCCACGCCAAGAAAATCTCTTGTCATGTTATGTTCTGCAGAGTTTGAACCACGATGAAGCTTCAATTGCATTGGCTCACTTGGTTTCACATTGGTTTGCATCATCAAATGATCAAAACTGTTTGATGAGTATATCAATGAGCTAAAGTTAGTAGAACCACCCAGCATAGCTGCACTGCTAGTTGGACTAAAATTCCCGTGTTGGTTCATATTCTGATAAGCCTGGTTAAGCTCATCACTGTTTTGGTTTCGGTTGGGAATGGCATTGCTATTGAGACCAGTAGTTTGGGTGTAAGATGAGTTCATTACTCCAAAACTGTCATTGAAAATGGACGGGTTAGTGCTTCTGGTTGAACCCATCTGTGCTGCCTTCTGTAGAAGCGCAGTGGCTGACATTGGAGAAGATAACTTTGATTGCTTGTTTTGACTCTCTGAATAAATAGACACCAAATCTGCATTTCCACTTTCTCCCTTTTTCCCAATTGGTAATGGCGATAATGAAAGTTTTGCATTAGATGAAGTCATTGAAGTGGAAGCTTGCATTCCAAAATTTGACAATAGTGAAGAAGAACCAATTAAAGCATTAGCTTGTGCCATTTGCATAACCTCAGGAAAACACGAAGAACTTGATGACACATGATCAAGTGGATAAATATGAGGATTTCCCTGGTTCAACCAAAGTGACAAGCTTAGCATTTGGTTGTCTGCACCCATGCTCATTCCATTAAAATCTATATTAAAACCATGTGCACCAAATCCATGAGCCAAATCAGGCTGTGTATTCACCACAGTTGTCTCTTCACTCTTAAAACTTAGATTTGTTGTAGCAACTGAAGTGACTTTCGCACTCTCTTCAGCTAAGGCATCACAAAATGCTCTGTGGGTAATAAAGCTGTCTTTCCTGTGCAAAGTTTAATGAAATTCCTCATTAATTTTGTAATCATTTAGACTATAACTTGCACATATATAAGCATTTATGTTATCTACAATAGAAACAAAGATTGCTGAGAAAGGAAAAAAAAAAAAAAAGATATCAATTATATATACCTAGAGAAGAGGGTGCCACAGTCACACTTATATTCTCTAGTGCCACAAGTTTTGGTGTGAGCTTTCCAATCAGATTGGACTGCGTATTTCTTCGAACACTTGTCACACTTCCACTTCTTTTCGCCGTGTTTTCTGCTGAAATGCTTCTTTATTCCGGTGAGGTCGCCGAGTGCTCTGGCGGCGTCATGGTGGACGCAGGTCTTCTCCGGGCAGATATATACCTTCTTCCGCACCTCCTTGTTTGACCTCTGTCGTAGCTTCCATGGAAGGTTGTGACCCCTTCTGTGAAGCTGAAGGTTCTGATCCCTCTGAAACCCTTTGTTGCATATTTCACAGATGAACCTGTTCGTGGCCATGAGTGTCTTTGGTGAAAGAGCAATGACCTCGGCATCTGGATCTGTATTAGTACAAATTCAAAACCCATTTGAAACAAAAAAAAAAAGAAATAACAAAATATACTTATCATCCAAAAAAGAATAAAGTTTTTAAGTTAATTCATATGACCTGGTGTTCCTGGTAGATTTCTCTTCTTCTTGGTGGTTGGAGGGGGATTAGGGTTAGGGTTTGTGTTTGTGGATAGTGAAAAGGGGTCACTGGGAATCATTTGCATATTATAAAAAGAAAAGTAGCTATACTGGAATGGTTTGCTTCTAGCAAAACAGCTAGCTTTCAAAGGTTTCAGACAGTACAAGAAAGAAAACAAAGGTTTTAGAGTAGCTAAAGCCAAGAAATTAACATAAAACCTTTTGGAGGTTACCCAAGTTCTGTAAGAGAGACTGGCTGGCTATTGACGAAAAAGACAAGAATAAGCCATACACGAAACTTGAATCGAATCAAAAGTATTTAACCCCTGAAAAATAAACTATATAGTATATATGTATAAGAGCTTCAACCTGGTGTAGTCTAGTTTCTTTTTTTGATTTCATTTACATATGAAAGATAAAACCAAAAAGCCCATATAACCATGACATGGCTATATATAATATGTTAGCACTTTAATTTTTCCGAGCTCTCCCTCTCTCTTTTCTCGCTTGCTCTTGCTGTCTTTGCTCTCATGGATACTAAGATTATACTTGATTTATTTAATTGTTCAATTAGTATGAACAATGTTATGAAAAAAAATTTCAAGACAATACAAATATCTAAAATTTTGTCACCCACTAAATTTTTTCCACAACACAAAATGAAGACAAAAATGAATGATATTACAATTTTTTTTTTTTACATTATTTGATTTATATATATATCACAATAATCTTGATTTTAAACAGTTATTCACAACAAATATATTATTTACTCTAGCGTATATCCTAAAATGGACGGTCAGCCATAGTCTTTAATGGGCCACCACATGTATACGTACACACTCTCTTTCACTGTTTCACAGTTACAGACGTACACAAACGGACGACAAATTTCTCAAACAGATACAAACACTGGCAGTTCTGTGGACGAGTGTGTGTGTTTGAGGAACAAAACTTCAATGTAACTGAAGCACTGAACATGTAGCCACGTCCTGAAATCTTAGAAATTTGTGCAGATCCACCCACGTATCTTAGAATAAATGAATTACCGATGTACTGAATATTAGTGCATCAATAGTATTGAAGATTTTTCCATGTTTGAGGGAGAGTGAGCTGCATTTTTTTGCCTTTTGTCTAGTAAATCAGAAATTTGAATGTGTAGGGAGAGGATTTGGATCCTCTCTCGTGTAAAAAAATTATCATATTATTTGATTACAATCGCTCGTTAACGATTAACGATGAGATAATAAAGAAAAAAAATATAAATTTTAAATGAATGATTTTGATAAAATAATATGACTAATTTTTTTATGAGAGGATCGAAATGCGTAGGGGGATTATCTTATAGTAGAGCATATTTGAGCAGAAACTCCAACTGTTTGCTTAGAAAACCGAAATTTTGTAAAGAAGGCTTTAAAGAACTAAAAACTAAACCTTAGGGAGAAGTTAATACAGTTACATTAATGTATGCATATGTTAATAGTATCATTACAAGTACATATAAAAAGGATTGTGCTTGTGCACGTAGTAGGGAAGGGAAGAAATAAAGGTTAAAATGATGCTAGGGTTGTTGAGAACGAGGGGTAACAGAAAAGTTACTTACCTTTACAAGAGTCTTTAGCAGGTATTGAATGATTAACCCATAATTACAGTGAGTGCTCCTTTTTAGCATGCGAGAGACTATCAGGTCAGAGTCAGAGATGCATTCATACACTCGCAGACACGGGTGAAACTGTATGCAAGAGAGAGAAAGTTCATGTGTGGGGTCAATATACTATATAGTGGGCCAGTAGTTGGGGTTCTCTTTTCCCAAAGCAAAGTGATAGGACCGTCCGTGATACTATGTCTCTGTCAGAGTCATCCTAGAGGCCCAGAAAATTGAGCTGTGGGGTCCTATCTGCACCGTCCATCATCCCAAAAAGTGCCATCGATTGATCTTTTGTACTATAAATGTTTTTTACTCTTCGTTTTCACACATTTTTTATGGTACAACCCAAAAATATAAAATTTTCTTTCCCCCCTTTTTTTTTTTGAAATAAAAGGTTAAAATTTAAGGACAATAATATTCACATACCAATTATTATTATTTTTCATTTTTTCTATTTTGAAAAGAAAAGAATTAGGCTAAACTGTATGTTTTTTCTTTTACAAAAGTTGTATAGAAATAACATAAGAAAATTAGTATATGAATACCATTATTGAAAATTTTAAAATATATATACAATGATGAGCTCATTATTGCGCTTACATGTACAAACAGGTCAATAAAATGTCGCACACCGAGTTAAGTGTTAGTTGTTACTATAGTAATTAAGTACGAGCTAGCGTAGGATACCCAAAAAAAAAAAGTACGAGCTAGCGTACGTACGTAGGTGTATACAGTTACTTACATTTACGTTAGACTGACACGAAACATGTCTGGGAATATGCTCGTATTGTTTGGTCACCACGACGACGTTACACTAAAATGTTTAGTTTGCAGCCCTGGCCCTGGCTAGTAGTTGTTCCCATCAGCGTCCTAAATAAGGACATGTGTCGACTGTGAACCGTTAAATGCGTGTGTGTGATGTTAATTACTTCAACTGATCAATTTAAGTAATAAGAATAGACAGCATCGGTGATCGTTTCTTTTCAGGTTTGTTAAGATAAACTATGACTATTCCTTCTTATATATTCCTGAAAAACTCGATGATTCATACCGTTCATTTTAATTTCAAAAGCTAGGAGTTTCTTTGTATCACGTTGTGAACAATATGATATATATATATATATATCAGGATCATTTTATATCTGTGCAAGTTACACTCTTAATTTTGATCATTGATCTTATTTATATCTAATGGTTCTGATTTATTGAATATTTAAGTCATTGAATGCAAGTAAATAAATGATCAAGATTTGATATAAAACTTCTTATTTTTACACCGGTGTAAGAATATGTATATATATATATATGACATTATGTATATATGCCATTATCGATTTACACCAGTGTGAAAATTAGAAATCTCACACCTAATCTTAGTCATTGATTTGTATTCATATGACAATTATAATTTATTGAAAAGTAATAATTAATTAATGGTTGAGACCCAATAAATAACAACCATTAGGTATACACATATCGACGGTTAAGATTAGATGTAAGACTTCTTATCAGTCGTTGATTTGTACTCATATGACAATTATAATTTATTGAAAATTAATAATTAATTAATGGTTGAGACCCAATAAATAACAACCGTTAGATATACACATATCGACACTTAAGACTGGATGTACACATATGACAATTATAATTTATCAAAAATTAATAATTAATTAATTAATGTAAGACTTCTTATCTTTATACTGGTACAAGAAGATATCTATATATATATATATGAGAAAGTATTTCTCCAGTCACCGGAGATAAAGTTATTTTCAGTGAGCTCAAAACGACGTCGTTTTGAGTTATAAGATTAAAAAATTATAATGATAAAGACTAATATAACCCTGCAATATATTATAATTACAAAAATATTTTGATTTTCGCCCAAAAACGACATCGTTTTGAGCTCACTGGAGATAACTTTATCTCCGGAGACTAGAGAAATCCTTTACCCATATATATATATATATATATACATATATATATATGTATGGATATGATTAATTTATACCAGTGTAAGAATAATAAATCTTATATTAATCCAAATTGTGGAAGCCTATGAAGCACCGACACTTCAAAAACTCTGACGTGTCGTGTCCGACACTTTCCGACACTCCCCGACACTCTAACACGCATTATAGAAATTCAAAAAAAGGTCAAAGGTTGCGTTGCGTTGAGTTTTTAATTCCAACTATTACATTTGTTGGATTACGATTACCATTTTATTAAGTTTAATATAAATATTTGAGATATATTATGTTTTTTTGCAAAATTGATGAATATTATAAGTTTAGTTTCATTTTTTTGTTAAATTATTGAATATTAAATATAATATACACTGCATAAATTAAAAATATTATTTAATACCAAAAGATGTCCTAACGTGTCGAAATCTAATATTTTTTAGAATTAACGTGTCAGAGTGTTGTGTCGTATCGTGTCACGTGTCCCGTGTCAGTATCGGTGCTACATAGGTGGAAGTTCAGTTGGCGCATGGGAGCTAAGCAGGTGGGGGTGAGAGCATGTGTTCGAATCTCCTCAGTATTCCACCTTTGGGAGGAATTTAAAGCCTTAATCATGGACCCGCCCCGAAAGGATTAGTTGCGAAGCAATGAACCGATTGGAATATTTTCAAAAAAAAAATCTTATATTAAATCTTAACCGTTGATTTTCATGTATCTAATGATTATATCATTAATTAATTATTAATTTTTAATAAATTACAACCGTTAGATTAACATACATCAACAATTAAGATTTGATTTAATACTTATTATTCTTATTGCAAGTTGATGTGTCCCATATATATATGGGTTAATCGAATATCAAGTTCCTTAATATAAGGATTTGTTCAGTCGGGGAATCATAATCATATACAGGTGGATCAATGATGATAAAGGAATAAAGAGAAATATAATATCTATTTCCAATCAATTAGATAAGGAAAATAAATATGTAAAATGATATAGTTTTGGGTGACAATGAAAAATAATTAATTATATATAAATATAGATAGATAGAGAGAGAGAACGAATCTTCCCAACTAAACATGACCTGAAGAATAGATATGAGGTCTTTTATTGAGTGATAAAGACATTTTACCTAAGTTCCACTCCCATAATTGATGATAAGTAGATGACCACGAAGCCAAGATAATACTTAATAATCATTGGCCCATGTGGTTTTGTGAGTCATATTTTCTCTTTTTTCTCTTTCTTTTGTACCGCTAAAATTCTTGGTAATGTCATGTGCAATTGATTATTACAGTCAATTCAAATAGATATTCTAAATCTAGTTACTCTATATCTAATAATTATTTCGCATTCTTCTTTTTCGGTGAAAAAACCTTTTAGAAGACTATCGAACTTATGCATTACACAAATAACTGCACAACGTTACACCTCTGTAAGAAATTAACACACTGCAATC